TCTGATCTGAGATTGAAAGTGAATTTGGAGCACTGCACCTTTGAAGATACACTTTCCCAGACTGCAGCAATCAATATACAATATGTTAATTACAGAAATAAAAAATAATAAATGAATTGCTTCACAATTAATTTACTCATGACATAAAAGATAGTTTTAAAGAATCTACAATGGGATTAGAACTTGCAGAGCATTGAAGAACATCACCAAAATAATTGACAGAATACACAAATATATCCTTTTGCTATTAATTACAGTTTTTTTTAATTTTAAATATTATATTTTTCAAGCAATAGCAATAAACTATTAGAAAAAGATTGTTCATCTTGAGGATATTCATAAACATCAAAAGGCTCTGTTCGACTGCAGGGGAAACTCAGGTCAGGAATGAAAAGAAGAAGAAAAAATACTGTTATATTGAATTTCAAAAGCTACAATGGACTGCAGGAAAAAAAAGAAAACATGGATAATGGAAAAACAATATTATGATAAATTGAAAATCTTATGAGAATTAAAGAAATGGACTGCAGAAAGCTACAAGATTTCTTATACTCCATTACTATCTGCTTCTCAGCAACCAAACACACAGCTAAAGATAACAGAAAATTCCAAACCAAAGAATTAGATTGAAGAAAATACAAATAAAATACAGCCAATTGCAGTCAAACCATGAATGAAACAGAACATGTCATGAAATCAGAATTCAAAGCCACCAAATCAAAAACAAGAACACAACCATACAGCAACATGAAAATCAAGTTCCCAAGACTATTCTACCAAGAAATGTCAAATCTTTCCCAGGAAAATTATGACAGCAAACTGTTCCATTAATTCCCGGGAACCAAACAGACCCAGATGAGAAAATAGACCAACCTTCAAGTCCAAGCGCTTTTCCCAGCCATTAGGGACCTGTAAGTCGAGGTCCAGTTCCTGGGACTCGTTAGCAAGCTTGGAAGAAGACCCACCACCAAGCAAGTCTCGTGTAATCAAAGCCGTTGATTTCTCCCCACTAGAATCACTCCCCAGACTCAGATGTTGATCGTCGCTGTACCCACTTAGAACCCGAAACAGAGAGCTCACGTCAGCAGCCATTACTGGGACTTCACAACCCTTCTTTTCTGAGAGAGAGAGAGAGAGAAGGAGAACGAGGGGTTCTTGGGATTATATAGAGCTGAACTATATATGGCAGTAAATATAGCCCGTTATGTAATATTTGCAATGAAATTAAAATTATATTATTATTATTATTTATTTATTGGCTTTGATATTTTCTAGTATTAAAATTAGTTTGAATTTGAATTAAGCTAATAATAAAGGTTATTAAATTTGATTAATTGATTCATTTAATGTTTGGGTTATTAATTGATGGGGTTGTGGGAGGACAATTCAAGGAAAGCAGGCACCTAAAGTTATGGTAGCATTAAATGCTTTTGGAAAACTAATAGCCTCTCCTTTGGCTTTAATTCAATGTTTTTTGTTTTTTTTACGTGGATATTATAAATATATAATATATTTTTAATTTGGAGGGTTTCTGATTTCCTTCTAATAAAGCTCTTAAATGAAGTGGAAATTGGTAGAAGTAAAAGCAAAGTGTTTAGAAAGTGCTTTTGACATTTTCAAGATGAGTGAACAAGATTTTGACACGTTTGCAAATATAATGATATTGCTGTGTTTGGAAATTCATCTTTTAAATTCAACAACGGGATGATATAGAACTCTCGTTGAATCTAGGTCCCAGCTATCCAATTCAATTAATTAATATTTATTTTTTAAATATTTAAACTCTAATAATATATTTAGCTGAAAAATAAATACCACGTGACATGATAGAGGCTTCAAGTGTGCCACAAAATGCAAAACTTTTAAGCCTAGTTTTGGCTTGATAAAGATAGATAGACTAGTTGAATGATATATATGAAGAAATAACCTTGTAGTTTTTTTTTTGGGGGACAAAAAGGTAGATTTCATTTCAGTAGAAAGTGGAAACATTGTGTATATTTCGCTTGGCCTCGTTAAAACATTCTCGGAAAAAACCACATGAAAAAAACTCCGAAGTAAAAAAAAGTACCGTACATGTCACAAGAGTACATAACTACAGCTTTAGGAACCCTGGTGGGTCTGTAACCCATTCCTCCGCTCCCTGGAAGTACATAGCATAGCGAGCCAAACGAGTTGCCACCCAATTCTATCCATATATAAGGTACTCTCCTGTCTAGCCAATGGTGTTTTACAATCCTCAATTAAGCATCCTAGGTGGGGGACATATCAGCTTGGATTAGTTGATGTATAGTTGATTTTGTTTATAAAAAAAATACAACTGATAGTCTAAACTACAAAAGAGAACGGGGTTTCTCACACACGCATTACAAGGGTGTCATGGAGTTCGAATATGAGACCACTGATATACAAGTCAATACCCTTTTCTATTGAGCTATACCCGTTCGGTATAGGGTATAGTGAACTTTTTGAATTGGTGCTGCTTCTTTAATATTTAAGAAAAAAAAATTCAAAGAGTAGAAAAGATAACATAGATTGATACAAAAAAGGTTGTTATGTGCTTCATTTATTAGTATTAAATTAGAGGAATCAAAATCAACAACATTAACATGGAAAAAAGAAAAAGAAATTAACGACTCTTAATAGGTGCAGTATAAGCATTAATCTCATATTTTATGGACGATGTTAATGAAAATTAAATGAACATTGAATTGGTGTGCGTGAATTTACAGAGAGGATTGCATGCATGTAGCAGCTAGCATCAATTCAAAAGGTTCATTTCGTAGTGTATTGATTTAGGGTTTAGGTATTTATATTATGAGGATATTATTACTATATACTTTTTAGGCAGATAAAGCCGCGCAAGTATTAAAGATGAACCATGCAATTTTCGATGCCAACATTTAATTTTGAGGGGCCAGTACTGTAGTTTCAAAGTTTTATAGTCTTATATTTCAACTGATATAGTAGTAGGTGTTTAAGAGTTATTGACTTTTTCACGGAGCTTTGAGGGCCATGACCACTGCAGGCCTGTATGTGGCTCTGTCCCTGACGAGACACTTACAGAGGAAGACGATATTTAAATTCTCAAATTCAATCCCTTTTTTGAATATATACTATATTTGACAAGCTAGTCTAATATAGCCAAAAACGAAAAAGAAAAACCCTTTTATTGAAAAAGGCTATAATCATTAATTAAATTTAATTAGAAAGATTCAAGATGGAAGCTCGAAGGTGCATGTATGCGGAGTGAAGAGAGTTAGGGTCGTCACACATGCAAACAAATCTCAACCGTTTATTAATGAGCAAGTGACGCGAATGAAATTCACATAAATGAATAGCTGAGATTAAAAGGGCGACTGTAATCTCATTTCTTGTAGTCCAAGAAGAGGTAAATTTGATTTGCATTTAGATTTAGACAACCCAACTACTCGAACCACGAAGCTTTTGAGTTTTTTGGGCTTGATGATCTCTAATTAAGTTGTAGATGGATATTAGTTGGTTGATAAGTTCTAGGGTTGTAATTAAGTGTGATTAGCTACAGGTTGATTGTTTCATTAAATGCTCACTTATTTAATGAGTTAGGGGAGAATTCAAAGAATAGAGGGCATGCAAGTTATGATGGCATTAAATGCACAGAAATACCGGTAGATATATATTGGCGTCTTTAATTGGCGAAACACTTGTGTGCAACGGGAATATCATTGTTTTGTTGTTTCCACTCAATCACCCTATGCCACGAGTAATAAATTTTCCACTTGGCATAATGCGATTGGCAAGAGATAGCAAAACAGTACTAGAAAAAATATTAAACTAATTTCAGTGTATTTATTTAGCTAGGTGCTTGCAGAGTTCGTTATGTACAAAGCTTGTTTTTAATCTTAATTATATTTTAAATATATGATAGTTCTTGAAGCTAAAAAAAATTGTCAAAGTTTGAAGGGACATGATAATAAAGAAAGAAGCCATGTAGTAATGAGCCTTGCGTGCCGGAAGATAAAAGGTACACAATTGAATTGAATACTTTGAGTTTTTGCATTTGCAGAAAATATTCATAGCCTAAAAGTATAGGATAAAAAGAAGTAAGGCATTTATCTTTGTCGATGCATTTAGGCTAAGGAAGGTACATGATTTAATATGCATTTCAATGCTGCAATTAATTTTGCCAAAGACCAGTTGGATGACGGATTCATGACGTTTAGTCTGGATATTCTTCTGCCTCTAGTTGTTTTGCCATGAAATTTTGTGTTGAGGCCCAATGAACTCCACTTTTTTAATGTTAATAAAATTCATGCCAAGAGGGTGCCATGTGTTGAGGCTCAAAAAATCTTAAGTGGAGCCCAAGTGTATTTCAAACCCAATGCAGTGCCTCGTTATAAAAGGGGCCCATTAGGGTATACAGAAATTTGTCAAACACGGCTATAAGGTGCTTGCACAAGCTTTGATACTCGCGTCATGACAAGCAAAAATATAACTATACATATGGGGAGGTCACAACGTGCCCACAAGAATGCACCGGTTCCATAAACCCGAGCTTGTTACTTCTACAAATATCACCTAACATGGCCTTAAGCCATTGCAATACAAAGAACCCCAAGCACAAGCACAATCATGCGAGTAACAGGCAATGCCTAGCAATCCCCTTATTTAGTGCCAAATCACTGGACAAACTTAAGTGGGTCTAAGCCACATAAATGATTGGGGTTTGCTGAGCATGTTGTGGTGTGGATGGGTACGAGGGTCCATAAAGCCCATTAAGAGTTCAAAATGTGGATGTTTTGGGCTGCTTGGGGGCACCAAAACTCAAGCCCACTTTCTTGAGCCCTACTATGTAGGTAAGCATAGAGAGATTCCAACACCTTTTTGTTAATCACTTCTCCATATAATCACTTTAAATGATTTTAAGGAGAAGCGAGAAGCACATTGGTGTTAGTTCTCATCATAAGTGATTATAGTCTTTTGAGGAATCACTCCCAAATGAGCCCAATGGAAAAAGGCATTGACTTGCAAGCCAGTGGTCTTATGTTTGAATCTCCATAATGTTAGTAGTGTATGTGTGAGAAACCCCCTCCCCTTGTAGTTTATATATGCATTAATTTTTTTTTTGATAATTGGGGAATAATTTAGGGGCATCAGTGGAGAAAGTCAATTAAATATTTTTTTTTGGGGGATCTTTAAAATAATTTTATTTGAGGGACACCATTAGGGTACTATATGAATTTTTTTTCCAACCATCTAAACCATCTATTTTTTAAGTCTACATTCATAGATCATCTTTGCAAAAAATTAGACAAATCAAAAATCGTTTCGACATCCAATTGTATCTTACAAAATCAATGAATACAGTGCTTTAAGAAAGTACTAAAATTTCAATAACACAATTGGGTGGTCAAATGATATCGGATTCAAGTGATTTTTTGTAGAGATGATCTTTGAATAATTATCTAAAACATAAATTGTTAAGATTAGTGAAATACAATGCGGAGTGGACCTTACAAAGGTGTTTATTAAATAAGCTAATTTGAGGAATCCCTTAATATATATATATATATATTAGTTAGTAGAACAGAAACCAAAAACAGCACGCTGTTTTAGATACACCAAAACTCTCTCTCTCAGAGACAGAAACGAAAAAGATGCAGATTTTCGTGAAAACCTTAACTGGAAAGACCATCACTCTTGAGGTTGAGAGCAGTGACACCATCGACAATGTCAAAGCCAAGATCCAGGTACTGTTTCTCTCTTCCTCTTTCTCTTTCTCACTCCTTGTTGTCAATTTTCATCTTATTTATTTGTTTTTGTTGGAGGAAAATCTATAATTTGTGGAAAGATTTGTGCAGAATATAATTATGGTTAAGGGTTATACAAAAATTGAGTTGCTGTCATATTAGGATTTTGTAATACGAGAGCATATACATCGTAGAACATTCAATTGTCCTATAACAAAGGGAAGGCTTATTTAGTAACAGGAAAAGATATAAAAGAAATTATATTTTGTAGAAGATGCTTTGTATTAGAGAAACTTGAAAGATGGCAATTCATGTGGCTGACCCAATTTGATTAGGACAAAAGTAAGGAGCGATAGTTTGTGCTGTGGGCATTATTATTTTAGGGTTCCTGTTGATACCGAAATTTCAAAATCAAAATTTTGCTATGTATGTATAGCTAGCCTATTCTGTCAGTGGTTTAGGGAAAGTAAGAGATACCCAATTTTAAGTGGCAGACTGGCTATCAATGGCAAAATTGCTTGAGGAGTTCTTATTGCTTGAGGAGTTCTTATTGTTTAGTTTAGGGGTCAGGGGTCTAATGTCTTTGGTATCTGAATGTCCATTGTGTATATAAAAGAAAAAACATCATGACTAGAACAGGCAAATAGCTTTTAAGATGATCGTTTGCTCCTTAATCATCGAGACAGATTAGTAGAAAATTTGTTGGTGAGTTGTGATTAGATTAAGATGCTCGTTTGCTCCTTAACATGTAGTTTTTCTGAGTGATTTTTCTGACATTCCCTTTATTTTTTATTCATCCAGGGGAGTTCATTTTGTTGTTATGGGATTGCATGATAACACATATATGTTTGTTTTCAGGATAAGGAAGGCATCCCTCCTGACCAACAGAGATTGATTTTTGCTGGTAAGCAATTGGAAGATGGTCGAACTCTTGCAGATTATAACATTCAAAAGGAGTCAACACTTCACTTGGTTTTGAGGCTGAGGGGAGGAACTATGATTAAGGTGAAGACTCTTACCGGGAAAGAAATTGAGATTGACATCGAACCAAATGATACCATTGACCGGATCAAGGAAAGGGTTGAGGAGAAAGAGGGAATCCCCCCTGTGCAACAAAGGTATGCTTCTTTATATTCAATGTAACAACAGTAACATATGATAAATTAACTAAACAATTGAGAACTCAAAAGTAATTTCTGGTTTACAAACCGGCCATTCTACGCCGGTGTCCAATTTCATGCGATTGTTGTCTGTCGTCATTTCATTTACGTGTGGCAAAGATCTTATTGGCTTCACAACTGTTTTTGTAGGCTTATTTATGCTGGGAAGCAGCTTGGAGATGACAAAACAGCTAAAGACTACAACATTGAGGGTGGCTCTGTCCTTCATCTGGTGCTTGCTCTAAGGGGTGGCAATCTTTAAGTATATTTCTCGGTTTCAAGCTCAGAGCTGCCTTTGAGCAAAGGCCCAAAGGGCGATGGTTTCAAATCCGGGCAGGGCCTAAAAATATTTTATTTGTATTTGTGGAAAATATTAGAAACGAAAGGCCCAAAAAGTTAAAAGATCAAATGTAATCAATGCTCTAATTCATCTGTTCTGACTTCAATCGTCCAGCTCCGTGGTTTCTTTCTTCTATTGATGTCTTCAAAGTTTAAACTTTTTATACTCAAAGATTGTCACCATGTTGAACTCTGGCACATTAACTCGAACCCATGATCCATTAAAATCAAATTAACAAGTTAGAATTGAGTGGTCTCTCTAAATCCTAGCCTCCCTTCTCTCTCTCAAACCTCTTTTGTTGTGTTCTGGTGTGGGGGGAGGAGGTCACTCCTCTCTCCTTTCCTCACCACCCCACTTATTTTTCCCTTCCCTATCTACTGGATTCGGGGATTTAATTGTGGGGAGGTTACTTGTGTTTAGATCTGCTTGAATTTATGGTTTTGTTGGTTGGTGTTTTAGTTTTAAGGTGACTCTGGCTGCAATCTCAGTGGTGTTCTTTGTCTCCAAGGCGACGACAACATTTGTGGTGGCGGTGGCAACAACGACAATAATGGCTCTGTTGATTTTTAGTTGTGTGTTTGCAATTTTCTTATTTTGTAATAATTGCGTGTTTGATTTTTAGTTGTGTATTTGATTGTTTCCTAGTCTTTACTTGTATTTTGTACTTGTGAGAGTTAAAAGTTGTCATTGTATTGGTAGATTTGGGCATTGTGATTCATGTTTGGTTTGTTCAGGCATGCAGCTTTTATGTCGAAATTTCTCTAGCTTTTTGTGGCCTGTATCTAGATTAACCCTATGTGGTTACTAGGCTTCTATATTTGTATTTCATTTGTATTTGCCGTTGTGGCTGATGGTCTTTGTGCCTAATTTATGAATACAATTATCGTTTTTCTCTCCGAAAAAAGGAAAAAAGAATATAAGTCAATTGAGGTATATTTCAGTTAGTTAAGCTCTTCCATATCCACCCCATGTGAGTAAAGGTTCAAAACCCCCAAACACCTAATGAACATTTGTGTAAACCCTCCTCTCCAAATTGCTTGTACTAAAAAAACAAAAATTTTGAAAGAAAATTAATCTTTGAAATGAAAAAGGAAAAAAATGGTCATTGGTTCTGTTCTAATTAACTCCTCCAACGGTTGGAGTATGAAAAATGAAAGAAAATAACTTGAATCTCCACGTTTATTTTTATTTTTGCCAATTCATACTGGCCTAGTCATGATTTTGGAAACCCATTGAAATGAAAGAAAATACTTTGAATCTTGTGTTTTCCAACTCACTCATTTTCATTATATATGGTTGGTTCCACAACTAATGTCCGAAAAAGATAATGCATTGTTATGCAAATTACCATATAAAACAATGTACCCTATATATATATACTCATATTGTTTTCTTTTTTGGTATATGCCCCCATTAATCTTACCATATTCCATTTAATTATGTCCAAATTCATCCACAAACTGAAATCCAAAAGGTATTTTCTATAACATAATTTTATATTCATCTCGAGTTTTCTTGTCTTTTATAGTTCTTGAATAATAATGCTCTCCGATTTAATTAGGAATGAAGACGAAGGATGACAATTATAATACTTAAAACTGTTGATAAATTAAAAAAAAAAAAAAGTGTGACGTAAATTTTAAATATATGTTTATGGGTTTAATAAATATCTATACAGCGTTTACCTTCTGTCCAGTTTAAAATTGCCCATTCAATATAACAAACAATAACAAAAATATATATATAAAAAATTCGATTTCCATTTAGGAGGCATTCGAATATTCAATTCCCTTCAATATAACAAAAAATAATATTTGATTATAAAAAAAAATTCAGAGTACTTGATTTTTGTGTGTGAAGGTATATGATTTCTTCGTCTATAAATTTCAAACTTTTCCGCTACGATTTACAATGAAAAATCAGGAATTACATTAGGCCATGCACCATGCTGCCCCCTTTGAACAATGATGAACATATATACAATTGTCTGACTTCTCTTAAACATATGTCACGCTTAAGTTTAATTAACCAAGTTTTGAATGGATAATGTAGATTATAATGAATTTATTTTGAGTGACTAGGTACCAATGTCAACAGGACATGCCACCAAACTCAAGAATGTTCAAGTCACTTCATTTGAAAAATAAACGGCATGCAATTAAGTCTCCCATTCTGAACTAAAATGACCAAAGTGAGGGTGACATAGATTATTTTTGTAAAAGACTAATAGGGTTTTGACATTTGTCAAATTCCGAACTCTTTTCAGACACAAACTCTCGTAACAAATTTCAAGCCCTCGAATTTCAAGCTCACTTAAAAACCCACATAGATTTATTAAGGGCATGCCACATGGCGCTTACCCTTTTCCCACATAAGCTACACGTCATGCAAATGATAATATTATCTCTCTCTCTCTCTCTCTGACTAGTTGTCCATGTCATAGTCATTAAAAGTCTTAGTGGTTAGTAGATTCTACTAACCAAACAGAAAGATGTCAATATTAGGTACCAAATGGTAAAAGCCATATAATGTTAGTTTCCCTAACAAGAGACTTAAAGAGTTAGTATTTAATGTTATTTTAGGGTCTTTTTCAAATGGTATAGATTGCATGGGGCAGGGTTTTGGCATAAGAAATTATATTCAAATATCAGCTGTCTATTTATTTAAATACTATATTCAAAGCCACTTAACTTGGGCGGGTGACCTAATCATAATATATATATACTATATGCCAAGGTTTTGTCACCATGGCGTTTCATGATCATATGCACACAGTGACTAACTCCACTTGCTATATTGTATATTATACAATTTGGTAGATTAATCAAACAAGGGAACATGTCATTTGATTCACACGAGGGAAGTACATAGTTTTGTGACTTGATGGGACTCGGTCAAATTTTTTGCCATTTTTAATTGATAATTTCATTTATGGAAGAAATGTGATCAGTAAATATGTTACAAATAATTTTATTTGTGCTCGAGGAACTCGTATTGCATGTATTCCTACAAATTAATTATGTATGTTGCTTATTTACATATAACTGATGACATGTTTGATAGTATATGGAATTGGTATTTGAATTGTTTATGTTTCTAACTTTTCTTGAGTTTACTAGTATGAGTATTGGAATCATTTCAATTCATGACTTCCCATGCATTCGGGGATCCCATACCCATTTATTCTCGCACTTATTCATGACTTTTCCTACTTATAACTTCATTCATTCCAAATAAGTAAACATATGACATGTCACGATACGTTTCATTTTTCAACTGCTTTTGACGTGACCATTTTAATTTTCTAGCACCAATGCGCTCCAAAAGCTTGAACCTCTCTTGATATTGTAAGATAATGTAATTAAGTCCTCCTTTAAAATTGAAAAAATGATGGTGATGACTTTAGTTTTCAAGTTACGGGTAAAATTTGGTGAGTTACATTGCGTAAAGTTGTATAGACTTTCATGCAAAGTTATTCGCTTCATTATACGACTTGATTTAAAAACGAGCATAGCACTGTAGCATATGCAATAAAACGAATAAGTCAAACATGAAAGCAAATTGGGCAGGTCTTTTACCTACACTTGGAAAAGCTGATTGGTGCCAAAATTTCTCTTCCAGATGTTCAATCTTATTAATTAACTGTCTAAATCCAAACTTAATTCAAATCGATGGCTGACTTGCGTGTGATGACTTTTAAGCTATATAGATGACATCTTGCATAGTGGAAGCTAGGTCTTGAGTTCACATCTTAATTGACAAGAGGCCTTCATGCCCCCTCAAATTAAAAAAACTTACTTATACCAGAGATACCACTGTGGCGTTATCTCAAACCAATCACTTATTGCCATGCATTTTATTTTTCCAACATGACAATGCAATTTTCTGACATAATACGTGATAAGTTTAGGATACTGCCACGATGACATCCCTGTTACATGTAGTTTTTCTCCCTCTCAAACCGATTAAATGGGAACGGACCATCAACCATGCATGCATAAGTTTTGCTTCTAATGAAGAAACATTTTTTTAAAAAATCTCATCATTTTTTTTTCAGAAACATTTTTTGAATTAAATCTTTGTGATATTCTCATGCAAAATGTTAAATATCTAAAATCTTTGTGGGTGTCACATCATTTACATGGCATAATATTGGGTGTATTTTGTCCAAAGGAAAATAAAAATAAAACTTATGCTATTTATTTTGGAAATTATTAACTTGCCATGTGTACCATTGGTCCATTGCCCCAGTAGGATATGCTATTTATTTTTTATTACTCGAAATGGAAAAATATCCTACACTCTATAATCTGGATTATACCAAAAGGGCCACAATAATAAATTTCAATTTATTGAGGAAAAAAGGCAGCACAAGCCTAACATCAAAGAAAACTATTTGCACATCTCAACTGACCCTCAAACATATTATCTTCTTAATTATAAAGGTGAGAACACTCTTGCAGTGAATCTCACATCGATAGGTTTTACCTGTATTAGAGAGATGATTTTATTTTTATTAGTTCTATCTATATTAGAGAGATTATACATTGTACATGATCAATTGAGAAAACATAAAATAAATAATAACACGCCACGATAAAAGTTTCAACTCAAAATCAAAGCACCCAAAAGTCTTGGATATTTGATTATAATTGTGGAAAATGATGTTTTTTTGGCTGAAGTGGATTGTTGTGTGTGAATACAGTAAATTAATTGACTATTATATATTCATTTGTTTGAGATTACATTTTCATCAGTGAAAGATATTCTTAGAATTTTAGGCTCAAGCATTACCAAGACAGTAGCAGTACTACAGAACAAATAATGAGCAATAAATTAAAAAGGAATAAAATTGTAAATATTTAGTAATCATCCTGGATCTCCTATTTATTATACAGCATAGAGTTCCCCACTCTGAGTCCGAGGCATGAACCTTGTGGCCTTGCCCTATAAACATTCCTGGTACATCTATCACTATCACTCCCTCTCTATATATATGATGAAGAGAGTGATACATAAATGAATTTCTCATATGTGCACAAGAAAGAAAAAACATCATAAGTGAGAGAGTAGTGCGAGAGTGTAAGAGAAACACTGAGAGAGAAAGAGAGAGAGAGAGAGAGAAAGAAGAGAGAGAAAGAGAGATGGGGAAGGGAAGAACACCATGTTGTGATAAGAACCAAGTGAAGAGGGGTCCTTGGAGCCCTGCTGAGGACTTGAGGCTTATAACTTTCATTCAGAAGAATGGCCATGATAACTGGAGGGCTCTCCCAAAGCAAGCAGGTACTAATAATCTTAATCAATTATTGAGTTTTTCTCCTCTCTGCTTTCTCTGATCTCTCTGATCTCTCTGATCTCTCTGATCTCTCTGATTTCTCTGATCTCTCTCTCTCTCTCATTGGTGATATGATGATGATCATAGATATGCCATGCATAAGAAAATCACATGGTGTTCATAACAAGTTTTCAAATTCTTGATAAAGAATTCCCAGAAGAATTGAATATCGATTCATTCATTTCATATGTGGACCCAGTAATTTTGGAATCTCATTGAACATCCCTTTCATAACAATGATCCCCAATTCCTTTTCTTAATTATCTGTTTA